AGCTTTTTTTTAGTAAGGATATTAATTTTACTGTTTAAGAAAATAAAAAAGAGGTATAGCATCTTAAATACAGGTACCCACTAAAAATAACCTATATTGTAATAAGCTACCATATCTCATCTGGTGATCCTACAGCATATCTAAATTTTCGTAGCAAAATTCAAAGGGTGTGTAATAGAATTGGTCCTGACCTGGCATCTCGACTTCTGTCAATGTCCTACCGATGTGAAGTGGCTTCCCTTTGTCTTTTTCTACACGTATTTTCATAGCAATTGTTCTGATGAGTTGTTCTTAGTTCATTGACTGTATGAATTTAAGCGTGCAACTAGGTCTCACCGTTTTACTGTTGAACTAGCTAGATGTGTTCTCTTTTAAAAATATACTTTTCTCGCACTTCTCGCCTGTGGAACTACTTTCCACTTTTTTCTTCCTAGCCACCTACAATCTTCAAAAATTTCAATGCCATCTTTGTCATCCTTACTCCTGTTACTTTATTGTCCTTTTCCTCATTTAACAACCAGCGACTTAGTGGCTTTATCGCCTTACTTAGGGTGAAGTGATTAACAAAATATACAAAACACACAGACAAATGCACATACACAAATACGCGCACGCACACACACACACAAACACACACACACACACACACACACACATATATATATATATTTAATATAAAGATGTCACAAACGGACACACGACAAAGATACATTTTTGTTACGATACGAATCGTTTATAACCATCTTTGTTCCTCACCTGTGGAGATGCATTTGTTTGTTTTGAGTACTTGTTTGTCCGTATGTAACATCTTTATAATAAATAACTATTGTTCTATTATTGGTATTGAGCCCTCTTTTACATAGTGCTATGAACGTCTGAATTTATATCCTTTTCGTTCACGTTACATTTGAATATATATATATATATATATATATATATATATATATATATATATATATATAGGTAACTATACTCGTTTCGAAAACCCTCGATTTTTGATTTGCCAATAATCAAATCAATCTCGAGTGAAAAAAAGGTTTAAAAAAAAGAAAGAGCTGGAAACATGAAAGTCTGTCGAAAAAAATCGCACAGATACAGGTTTGAAGCCCAAAGAAAAAACCCCGATATGAGTAAACAACTAACTAACAAAAGAGCTCAATACAACCGTAGAGCAGACCTAGATACACCTAGTGAGCCAGAAAAAACCTACCCAGGTTTCACATAAGCGGATCGTCACGGAAAGCTTTCCCTGAGGATCCGCTTAGGTGAAACCTGGGGTAGGTTTGTCTGGCCACTCACTATCATTCATTATCTATCTATATATCTATATATATATATATATATATATATATATATATATATATATCAGTCTTATTTTTGTTTTTGTTTTAATTTTGTATCAGGATTAGTTTTTGAGCCTCAATGTAAATATTTATCTGTATGTTTTTATTGAATTTACACGTGTGCGTATGTATTTGTGTGTGTGAAAAAGTGTGTGTATGTATGTTGATCCTCTGACAAGGTGTATAAATGAGTTCGTCCATTAAGATCCCTAATAATATGTGCAAGCAGGCATGCGTCACTGTCTTTCGAGTCATATACCAAGCTTTTGGCTTCTTTGTCCAACGCATGAACATCTTTCTGTTTCATCTTAGCACTATCCAGTATAATTTCAGAACGACAGTTTAAGTCCCCCTTGCCCGCCATATACACTTTTTTTGTCTGCAACGTTCCTAATCCCAAAGAAGCCAACACTGAGAATATTACAAGTTCCCAATTCCCACGGTCTGTTTTTTACCAACCCAACCGTTTCGTCCAAAAATGACGAGGGCATTTCTAAAACTATTTGAACCTGTTAAGTAGGTATGACCTCCGACCTCATATCTCTAACCGTTTTAGTGGTCAATACCGATACACACGTGTGCCTGGCTGTCCATTGTTTGACAGCTACTCAAGGAGAATCTCCTGGGTCGATATCTGACAAGACACCTCTACCCCTTCCACTTCTGACTTTATCATGACCACGCCTTTCTCGGGCTACGCCTTTTGTCGAGAATTCAACTGTCATGTTAGCATCTATTATGTGTCTCCATGTTTTCAACTGAAGAAAGAAACGGGTGTTTTTAAAGGCATAATTCTGTTTATTTTTCTACTTACGCTTTTTTCATGAAAGTTTGTCTCTAACACACACACACATATATATATATATATATATATACTTTTCGTCATGGTCTGAAAATTGCTTGAGGCGTGAAAGTGACAGTCATCATGTAATGCTGATTTCTAGGTCCTCACTGTCTATACCTACCGACGATATGTCTCTAATATTGAGCAGTCATACTCCATAAATATAAATTTTTTAAGCAAACCACACACTCACACACACACACAAAATATATATATATATATATATATATATATATATATATATATATATATATATATATATCAATGTATATTTGTGCAACATCCTTTCTTTGAAACATATTTTATCGCATATGACAAGGAAAATTTAATTACTCTTATTTATTTTTTCCACCATTCTTACATCTTTTCGTTTGGTGGAAGTAAGGGAGTGAGTAACCCTCTTTAAATTGGCTAAAGAAATGACAGAAAGCAATACGGCCAGTTCTTGCACTACCTTACTCCCACCAGAAGAAAAAAATGTAAGAATATATATATATATATATATGACAGACAAATAAAATTTGAAGCATCAAATAGAAGAAAAACAAATTGAGAAATGAAGCAAGATCTTTCCCGTGGGGAACTGGATTTCACCATGCAGGGTTAATTCCGATTTCCACATGCACAGTCACACACACAGATACAGACACACACATACACAATCTCTCTATCCGTTTCCGCTATACTTTTAGTCATTATCAAGGGTGATTTTATTTTTACATTTAACTGAATAATTGATTTTTTATGTACGTATCTAGAGTTATAGATAGATTTTTATTTTATTTTATGTGTTCTGAAGATTTCTTCAGTCGATGAAGAAATTATATATATATATATATATATATAGAGAGAGAGAGAGAGAGAGAGAGAGAGAGATATAGGGAGAGATTTATCATTTCTTCATCGGCTGAAGAAACCTTTAGAACACATAAAATAAAAAAAAAATCTATCTATAACTCTAGAAAATATATATATATATATATATATATATATATATATATATATATATATATATATATATATGTAGATATAGATATATACTTACCGTGATTGCGCCAGAAAATGCACTCTCGCCATGAATTCTTAACTAACATCGGCTAAGCATAGTTGCAGCATAAGCCATAAATGGGCTCCGTGAATCTTGAAAAAATACAAAACTGGTTTATATAAAAAACGGCGATTTTTCAAACGAAGATAGGTCTGTAAATTACATGTAATTCATACAATTTAGAAATCTACATGAATTTGAAATTAACAAGACTTTCTAAGAATGTATCCTCATATTTGTTTTAAATCACCTAAAGGCCTCAAAAAATGTTCTTATGCTCTACCATGTAGTAATTCATACAACTAGAAATAATTTAACCATCTTAAACAGAAAATCAGCATGCGATATCAAGTGTTCCAAGAAATGAGACCCAAGATAAACCTTTCGAAAAAAAAAACTATGACCTTGAATTGGAACGAAAGTAGTGATGTCACCTACCCTGAATATTATAAATTGCAGGATGTGGAATTAGGACATACTAAACACTTCAGAAACCTCAGCGTATGGATCAGCTATAACAAATTTGGTATAGGAAAATAAATTGAAGATAGCGTAGGCTGTAGCAGAAGTAGTATTGCCCAACACTGAAAATTGCTATAGAACCAAAACATCAATCTGAAAACTTGAGTCATATTCTTAAATAGCCTTGTTAGGTCGAGTCTTTCATATGGATGTCATGCATGGCAACAAACCCGTTATCACATATCTAAACTGTTAGCCGTATACAACGACTTCCTAAGATCAATGGTTAGAAATCCTTTGAGTGAGTAAAGCCTGAGTGTCAAGACAAAGATCATCCATTTTTGAACATTGTGAACTGGAGCAACAGAATCGCAAACAAAGAACTGTACTAAACATCAGAAATCACATCACTTGAGGACTACCAACAACAGCAACAACTAAAATGGATCGCATATTGTTATACCGAAGCGTACCTATTTCTATTGTAAATATACTCTCCCACAGATAATAAGTAGTAGTAGTAGCAGTCGCCAGGGGGCAGAGTGAGTTGTGTGAGTCAGTCGATGTCGGACATTAAAGTATCAGCCACCACAACTAGATTGCTGCGTCATTACCTATTATTTCAAGTTTCTAACGTTTTGTACGTCGAACCTAATTTAGGACCGACTCAGTAAGATACAAGCCTCCACTGTGAAAATTACTTTACAACACATATGTAACTCGAAGAAAAAATAATGACATAATCAAGATGTTGACATCCGACATCACTTGAAATAAAAGGTTAGGAAGGAAACTCCCATCTGGAAAGCTACTGGACTTCAGAAACCTATTTTCCTAAAAATGTGTTTTAAGAGAAAGAATTTATAAATTCCAATCGGAAACAGTACTGACTGCTCGGTCAATGAATTCCAAATGTTTCCTTGTAGGGAAACAGCTACTATTACCATTACCGTTATCCAATAATTTAGGTTTAAAGGCAATCGGTTTGCAATGATATGGAGTCGTTTGTACTTTTACCATACTTATTAAAATTCCTTGGACACATAATGGGGGAATAAGGCTTGAAAAAATTAGGCATATTGTGAGCAAGAGATCTTACCTGACGAGCTGTGTGAATTGATGGAGATAGAAAGTCCTGGAGAGCCATGATCGCCTACGCCCTGTAAAGACGCAGCATATCGAAATAGATGTGATTCTACAGAAGGATGCTGAGAATAGTATGAGCTGAACATGTGAGCAACGAGAAGATCTTAAAGAAAATCGATATATAAAGGACACCTATTCTTAGAATCAGAAAGAGATAGTTGTAATTTCTGGTACATATAATGGGAAAAGTGACCGTGGAGAATTTGAGTATATATTGAGGGCAAGAATGACAGAGGAAAACAATGAATAACCTACTTAACGAGATTGTGTAAATTGTTGACAGAACATGGATTTAGAATTGATAGCAAAAAGACAAACCTTACAAAGAGCACCCTTACAATGGGTTGAAAGTTGTGGAGAGCCATAATCTCCCACGTCATGAAGGAAAACGGCGCAAAGAACAATAAGAACGTTTTAAAAATGTTTTCTTAAGATTGCTATATCGATGATCAAAAAAAAATCTGCTTCGCCAGATAACGAACATGATTTTGTCTGTAGGATAATAATAGGTATCGGTTTGTCTAGTAGATAAATGTAGCACCCTGTTTGGTCAAAATTCCGTACTTTGGTGGTGAGACTGGAGAGACGTTTCCAATGGCACAGGCCAAGGCAATTATTTATGAAAACTATGCGTTACTCAGAGCATATGCCCACCTCTCGGTCGTACCGACATAATCCAAAAAAAATACAGGGCATAATATTTGTAGCCGGCTGGGTGTTGGATTTAGTAAAGGTTTGTTAGCGTTGATAGCCAACCAACTTCGGGGATCCAAGTCGGACTTTCGGTCTGGATATGTGTTTTCCGTTTTATGGAAATGAGTGCAAGGCAGCGGAGTTTCACAATCAGAGATTTCCTTCCCCTAGATGGACTTCCTCCTCGAGCTGATGCGATCCATCTATCTCCCACGTGCAGTATTGGGAAATACTAAACAACAGAGGCTTAAGTTATGGCATCCTAACTAATGGAATAATTACTGTGTATCATATTTACTGTGCTAATGTTTTGGTGCTAAACATGTAGCGATATATTTCAATATATATTTCTCTGTTAATAACGGACACCACATAGCTAATTCTAAACAATATAAAAATTAGCTCTTTCCGTTAAATATCATATATGACGAGATATAAGATGAAAGAAAAATAAAATAAAATTTCATCAAAGATAATGCTTTTCCAACTTTATTCTCAGATGAACAGAATATGTCAACACAAAGACATTAAAGATGGGATTACAGTCTGTATTATTTAAAAAATCTGTTAAAAATCAAAAATGCGCCAAAAATAATCCGAAGAATTATTAATTAGTAGTGGATATTTTTGTGTTCTCATTGTTAAAGATTGGATTTATTATTCTTAGATATTTTACTGTATTCAGTAAAGATCTTCATAATAAAGTCGTTCTCTTGAAAGAAATCCAGAGGATGTACTCGAAACAAGATGGCTTCTAAATATTTTTTCCTGAAGCCTCCAAACATGCTATTTTGATTAGATATTAGGTTATTTTGTATTGGAGGACTGTCCAATCAGAAAACAAGCTTACCAAATGATATATTTGCTACGAGGTCCAATATATATGATTGGACAATCTTGTTCTTAGTAACTATTTTCTATGATAATTGGAAAAGCAAATATTTCTGGAAAAGATGTCTGCATAATAAAAATTTCAAAATAAATTAATAAGCCTAATGAAAATATGCAAATGTTAAGAGGGTTTAATTAACCGAGTTATGAAAACACAATTGAATATGTTATAAATACTAGTTTATAACAAGACAAACCTGAAGAAATATAGTGTGAAAAACACGACATCTAAGGACAGGTAAAATATCCAGTAGATGAATGATTTTTTTTTCTCTTCATTTCCAAAGCAAATAAACAACTCCCTAAATATCTATTTCTCCTTTCAGTGTGTTTTGTTGCTTTTTTTTTCTCCACCCCTGTAGACACTGTGACTGCGTTTTACTCACTCGTAAAGTAAATAAATAAAGAATGGTATAAATAAAACAATGAAAGAAAAAACGGCCAAATAAAAGCGAACAGCAAACAAGTAAACAGTCGAGCGTCATTCATTTTAGCGCTTGTTTTGTACTTGTAGCGTGAGAATTAATCGTAAACGCTTTTTACAGAACGTAAGTTGTTCCTTTTCTCACACAAACACTTTATTTCTTCGCTTTTTCATGACATTTGCTTTCGTTGGTGTCAATTTTCTTCTTGTCTTTGCTGACAGGGTTATTTTTATTTTTATTTTATTATTTACTGACTTTTAATATGTATATTATCATTTTCTATACCCGAAAGATTTTCTGGTGTTTATTTGCACTCCTTGTTTGCTCATTTCGCCTTTCTCTCCTCGATGGCTTCAGCGTTCGTATTTTTCTTTTTAAATGTCTATTTTGTTAAAAAGACGTTTTCATGACTTTCTTTCCCGTTGTTTTTCAGAGTTAATTTCATATTCCATGTTAAATTTTCTATTCAGTTTTGATTATCTTGTCACTATTTTAGTCTTTCTATTTTGAAAATGTAAAATATTCTTTATTTTGCCTCTTTATTTTTTTCTTCTTTTTTTACGGATTCTATCTGGGGTCTTCGAGTTTATTTTCGCGTTTTCATTCTTACATATTCTTTCTGAATTTCATATATTTCCATCTTTAATCGTTTCTCTTTATTTCTTAATAGTTATTACTACACGTCGATAGATCTCATAAACACTTGCTACATGATCACAAACCAAGGACCTTACCAAATAATATAAACCACATCACTTGAAGAACTTTCAACAGCGGCAACAACTAAAAACGATAGCATATATGCCAAAGATATAATCAAGATGTTGAGTTTCCACACAACTTCAAACAAAAGTTTAGAAAGAAAACCCACGTCAATTCCATAGGGTGGTTCGAAAGTATTGTCGCCTCGATCTCTTTTTCCAACTGTAGGAGTTTGTGTCGGCCATCCGAATTTTTTTTTTTTTTAAGCATTACGCCTCGATCAAGGCGTGAAACCACGAGGATGCAGAGGGTTGCAGAAGATTTGGAGCGAGAGCAGATAGGAGTGATAGGATGAGGAGAGGGATAGTGGATAGATCAAGGTAACTGGAGATGTCGATTGACATTACATTTGAATAGTTGGAGATTATAGCTCCCAGGGAAACAGTAATTGGGAAGGGTATTCAACAGGCGAGAGGTGCGAGGTATGAAGCTATTGGAGTAGAAGAGACGGCTACATTTAAAAGTTTTCTACAGTGTAAGGGTGAGAGCGGGATGCCAGCCTCGTAGGGCGCTTGAAATCATGGAGTCTGGGAACCAATGAAAGCTGCTCAGCGGAGCAATTACCATGAAAGTATTTGTAGAAAAGACAGAGAGAGGCGACGGCGCGTCTGTGAGAGAGTGACTGTAGACGAGATGCCAGATCAGGGCTAATTATATTACATATCCGTCTCTGGATCTTGTCAAGAACTCCGAGGTAAACAGAAGGTGCACCAGACTATATATGGCAGCAATACTCCATGCAAGGGCGAATGGTTGATTTGTATATTTGAAGTATCGATTCCGGGGAGAAAAATTTCCTGGCGCGGCACAGAGAGTCAACTTTCCTCGCGGTGGACGATGCAATTGATCCAGTGTATTTGTTCCATCTCAGGTCAGCAGTCAACGTGAGACCGAGCAGACGCAGAGATTTGCTCTCAAGAAGTTGACTATCCGACATTCTAATGGGGTGGGGGGCAGGGAAGGACCTCTGTTCTCTCGATGAATGCCGAATATATCCGTGTAAGAAAACAGCTAATTTCATCATTATTATTACTGAGAGTTTATTTCTTTTGTTTCACTCATTTTTATTCAATAGATTCGAAATCTCTTTCTGAATTTCTGCGATGAGTCGTTACCATTATTTACATTATTTATACTTGGGCTATTGTCGCCATCTTTGTTCTGGTTGTCACAATGTTTCAGCCGTTTTGACGTCCGGCCTTCCCCAGGAGATTGCCGATTCCTGGAATTTACAGAGAACTTCTAACAGAAACCTTTTTTTCATCCCGTAGGACAATAGCCTAATGGATTAAAGTGTTGGTTCATGTATTTGGACACAGAGAAATTGCATGTTCAATCCCTGGGCTGTAGAAATTCCTGTTCTCACTTGTGACAACCGTTCGGATGTTAAATTGCTCTATTAACCACTAAAATATTGCTGTGGACCCCCAATTTGCAATTATTTGTGTGTGTGTGTGTGTGTGTGTGTGTGTGTGTGAACCACCATTATTGTTACTTGGACTGCTGAGAACCATCATTTTACACCATGGTGTAGAATTTTAGTGCCTGCTGATGAGACTGTTGCTACTTCTGTTTGTCTAAATTGCCTCTACTCGCTAAGGCTTCTTTTACCCTCTGCTGCTGTTGAGGCCTTACTGACATTTCTCTTTCTTTCTTTTTTTTCTTTGTTAACGGCCGTTTTTCGTATGTATTTCTATGCTCAGCCTACCAAGGAAGACTTCATAGCATAGTATATGTGCTGATTTTTTTAAACGTCTAACTCTAGAGTGAAGCGATGATTGCCCTGTTAAATGTAAACTAAGAATGAAACTACAGAAACTGAAGAAGCTTCAGGCAGCACCCAAATTGCAATAAAATAAACTCCCAATCGACCCGTACCTGAAAGAAAAATATATGGACAGTGTGAAAAGAAGATACGAGGGACACAATGGAAATGGGAACTCGAAATGGGACGCACTAAGAGACGCTTTAGTGACATGAGCAAACGATATCATCCCAAAGAAGAATGGACAAAGAAGAAAAAACGAATGGATGACTGATTCTCAACTTGATGCAAAGGAGACAGAACAACTGACAATAAACAGAACTACCAACGGGCCTAAAATTCTAAAAATCGAAGTAGAAACTGCATTGGTGAAATTGAACAGAAACAAGGTGGCAGGGCCAGACGGAATTGAAACAGAAATGCTGACAGCCTTAGATGACTTTTGGCATAGACAAGATTACAGAAATAATAAATGAAATCTACAACCGGAAGATCTCAGCAGATCTATTTTCATAGCACTGCCTAAGAAACCAGGTGCAAACGAATGAGAACTCCACCGAACAATCTGCTTAATGAGCCACATAACAAAACTCATCATCCATATTCTGATGAATAGATCACGCAGAAGAATCAGTCAAGAGATAGGACAAGAACTGTATGTTTTTTTTAAAGACACCAGAACCAGGAACGCGATATTCAAAGGCGTTCGACAAAGTACGCCACAAAGATTTGTTGGAACTGCTCAGCATCCTTGATATATTTGGGAAAGATATTAGAATTATGAAGAACCTATACTGGCAGCAAACGGCCTGCATGCGGACAGAGAATGAGTTCAGCAGATATACAAAAAAAGAAAATGGCGTAAAGTAACGATGTGTCTTCTCACCAGATTTATTCAACTTATACAGCGAGGCAGTTCTGTGAGAACTGGAAATCTTACCAGGGTTCAGCATTGGCGGCCACAGTCTTAACAAAATAAGACACGCAGTTGATACAGTAATGATAGCAAATAAGGAAAGGAAATTACAAAACCTCTTATTTAATGTAACGGATGAGAAGAAGAGACTAAGCATAACCTACAAGAAGACATAATGAATGGTCATCAGTAAAAAGATGAGCCCGAAAATGCGATTTACAGGACACTATCAAGCATGTGCGGAAATTTAAATATCTATGAAGTGTTCTGACAGAGGATGGTAAATGCAAAGCTGAGATCCGAATGGGATGGCCAAAGACGCATTTCAAAAGCTAGTATTTCGAGACAGGAGAAGAAAAGAGTACTGAACTGCTACATGATATTTGTCCTCGTTTAAGACAGCGAATGTTAGACAGTCTCCTCAAAGGTGAAGAGACTCGAGGCAACGGAGGTATGGTTCTACAGAAGGATGCAATGGATACCATGGACAACGATGAGGTTATGAAGAGGATGCAAACAAAAAGGAAACTTATACTTAACATCAGGAAAGGGCAGAGGAAATTTCTGGGACACGTAATCAGAAAGAAGGGCTTGGAGAATCTGATACTCACAGGGCGTATAGAGGGAAAGAGAGACAAAGGAAAAGCAACGTGTTACATACCTAGCGAGATTAAGCAAGTGGATAACAGAATAGAGTTTGGGAGAAATAAAGAAAAAAGAGATAGGGGGAAGTGGACACTGCATATAAAAGAAGAAGAACTCTATAGTATTTTTTGTGTCGACTATCCAAGATATATTTCGTGTTTATTTTCATTTGATGTGTTTTGAGAATGTTGGTTCTAATCCGCATGGGAATGGTGGTTTTCTAAGCGTAGCTTAGATGTGGCACACAACCGAAAGTATGTCACCCAGTAAGAATCGAACTCACTACTCAAATGTACTTGTTCTAGCGAGACAAGTTTGCTAACCATTACACCACATTGATATGCACAGACGATGTGCTAGACGTAATTTAGATGCAGTAGAAGGTTAAAAGTGTGGAGCACCTAATGAGACTCGAACTCACTACTCAATCATAATTGGTCTAGCGAGAAAAGCTTGCTAATCATTACACCACGTTGAAATTCCATGATCAGCATGGGAATGACTGCAAAAAATTCCACCGCCCCAAATATATATTTAAAACACAAAGAGGCATACTGGGTTTTTTTCTTAGAATGGCCACTTCTCGGTTTTATCCGGCATAGTTCTGTTCTTTCTTGTCTTGAAGTCCGAACGCTGCGATTGTTTGTCTGTATCCCCTTTTGTGTATTAACACCATTCTTATTTTGTGAAATGTTGTCTTATTCCAATTCCTTTGCCTAATTACGGTTGCTTTGTTTTGCATATATTGTTTGCTTGCTTAATCTTATTTTTCCACTTTTTCTTTTATCTTTCTCTTGTTATTGTTTTTTTGCAAAATTTGTCAATTCACTTTGTTAGGCATTTCTGCCAATTAA